CCAGTATTTCCCACTTCCAGTCTCATTTCCTTAGTCCAAACTCCACACTTGCACTAGTATTATCTTCTGAAAACACTTGTCAGTGTGGTATGGTGATTAAGGTCTGTAATCAGAAAAACCTATGTGCTAATTCTGCTCTGAAACCAGCTTTTTAATATGAAACAAGACACTTAACCTCTCTTGCTTCAATCTCTTCATTGATAAAATGGGAAAGATTATGCCTTTCTAAACAACTGTGCTTAGAATTAAATTAATATATGTAAAGTAGTTGGCACATAGAAAGATATTAAGGTAGCCTGATGAGATTTTCATTCTCCAGTTAAATCCTTTTGGGAATTAGGAAGAGAACTATTGAAAAGGAAGTGAAGACATAAAGGAATGAGTAATTGAAAAGATATACAGGTACTTATATTCTCAAACAGCAAGTCTTATAAAAATTATTTTTAAAGGATTCAAGGGGTGGGGAATCCTCTTTGAAAGCTGTATTTTAGGAAAATGCACAAGATAATAACATGAATTGAAAGTTTAGTAGGAGCCAGCCAGTTTTTTAAATGTTTTAAATTTATGAACTCCTTTAACTATAGGATATCTCTATGAATAGGTTTATTTTATTATTTCCACTTTATATATGAGGAATTGGAAGTATAACAAAGGCTAATTTGCCCAAAGTCATAACGTTAATTAATGATGGAGCTGGGATTTGAACCCAAGAAGTCTGGCTTCAGAAGAACACTTTTAATCCCTATGCCCAGGGGTTATTAATGCTACATTCAAAATGTTTTCATAAAGATTAGCTTTAATGATTAAAAGAACTAAATGGAAATATCGGGTAACATCTGTTATTTAGAAGATATTCAGACACATTTGAAGCCCTTTTCCCTAGAAGAGCATGGATGGAAGAAAGTGTAACTGCCAGTGTTAACTAAGCAAAAATTAACAAATAGGCTGATTGTTACATGTGACATCAGCAACAGCAAATGCAAGTCACAAGGGCAATTTGTGCTTTCTAGGCAAAGGGAACCACTAAAAAACGGGAGGATTTAATGCTCTAGATATGTGTGGAACATTCTAAGTAACTGGACATGAAGGACAGATTCTACTCTGAGGAGCTAGTGTAATTAAAAAGGCCTTTACGTGGGGGAAGGAGGGGGTGGGGGCAGAGATAAAACAGATTCAAAGTACACTGAATAATGTATAGAATTGTTGAATCATTATATTGTTCACCTGAAACTAACACTATGTTAGTTATACTATAATAAAAATATTTTTTCAGAAAAGTACAGTGATATGGGAAGATCTCCAGCATATATGATCAAGTGGGAAAAAAATCAAGGTTTAGAACAATTTATGTGCTATTTTTGTGTAAGGTGGGAAAATGAGAATGTGCATTCATGTTTGCATTTATTTGCATAAAAACACTGGAAGGATATACAATAAAGCAATAAAATTTTAAAAAGGCCTTTAAGTATATTTATATGGTGTAGTATTTCATGTACACAGAAGTATACATAAGTTATGAAAGCAAGATAATAAATATCTGTGAAGCCATCGCCCAACTTAACTAGAAAATTATTAATAGCATTGAAAGGACTTGTGTGTGGTCCCTCCACTGTATTCCACTGCCTCCCCACTACTCCAAATGCTAAGCTACATCCCTTGCATTTTTTAACCATACATGATGTAAGCCTAAGCAAAATCATGATTAAGTTTGCTTGTTTTCTGATCTTTACAATGGTACCTAACCTTCTGAAATTCGCTTTTTAAGCTCAGCATTGCTTCTAAGGTTCACGTCAAGAGCCTATGGACTGTTTTCTCTTTTTTACTGCTTTGTGAATATACTACATTTTGATTACCCGTGCCTCTATGGCTGGCATGTGGAATTCCAGCTTGTGCTGATATTAACATTTCTCTAAACATTCTTGTACATGTTCAGTGGTTACGGTTGCCTCGTTTCCTCTAAGACACTGCTCTCAAACCTGACTGCACATTAGAATCATGCCAGGAGCTTTAAAAAAATCATTCCCCCTCTCCAGATTTCACATTTAATGGCAGCCGTGGTTGAAGACAATGCCCTAGGGCCTATGCCTAGAGGTAGAATTACAGACTCAGAGGACACTGGCATCTTCAATTTTACTGATACTGAGTTTTCCAAAGCTGGAGCACCTGATTATACCCCAGCCCCACCAGCAGTGAGAAGAGTTCCCCCACTCCACATTCTCATTATGTTTATATCGTTACACTGTTGCAATTGTTTACCAACTTAGAGAATGCAAAATGGCATTGCTTCTTGCTTTTGTATTCTCTTCTATTGGTCAGTTCATCTCTGCAGCAATACTATAATCTCCGTCTTAATTACTATAGCTTCATTGCCTGTTACAGTTCTCCCATTTTATTCTGCCTCTTTTTTTTTTAAAGATTTTATTTATTTATTTGAGAGAGAGAGAGAATGAGAGAGAGAGTACGAGAGGGAAGAGGGTCAGAGGGAGAAGCAGACTCCCCGCTGAGCAGGGAGCCCGATGCGGGACTCGATCCCGGGACTCCAGGATCATGACCTGAGCCGAAGGCAGTCGCTTAACCAACTGAGCCACCCAGGCGCCCTATTCTGCCTCTTTTTAAGACTTTTTTAGATGTTTTGGTCCCAACAGTTTTTTGTGTTGCCATTTTTTGACAATTTGATAATTTACTTATTTTATATATATCTGTGGGGAATAGAAAAATTAAAGTAATACTCTGACAATACAGTTGAGACCAAGATAAAATCAGGATAAGTGCCAAACGCTGTTAATCTTTGGCGAGAATTAGATACTTGTTAGGCTTAAGTTGTTGATGGTTTCTTGAATTGACAAAGAACATGCATAAAATGCTGGAACTATATTATTGAAAATCATATGAAAGAAACAAGGTGGGGGGTTAGAGGAAATGAAGTAATGCAATTTATGGCTTCAGAACGAACAAACACATGTCCCAATAATCTAAATGACAGAAATTCAGAGTATGTGGAGTTGTTGATAGGAAAATAGCTTGATACAGATTTCTTTAACATAAAAGATTGGTGTGTAGAACTTTAAAACAAAAATCAACTAATACTTGAGCTCAAATCTTACTTCTGCCAAACCTTCACCCATTCCTGCAATAAGTGTTGGTTGTTCTCTCCTAGGCTGCCAGTTCCCAGAGCTAGTAATTATCTTTGTATCATTTGTCTCCACTACAATGAGATTCTAAAGATGAGGGAAGCTTCTTTCTGGTGCCATTTGCCACATAGTAGGTGCTCAAAAAGAATATTTTTTAAGACATGCCTGAAGAATTAGGTGATGGGGTCTCTAATTCCTTCAAATTGGGCTCTGTGACCCCTACCTAACAGACCCATTTACACGGTGGATTGCAATCTGGTCCATGTACAGCTTGACCTTGCAATGAATGCAAACAGGAGAGCTCTTGAAAAGATCAGAGTAAGAAAGTGAATGCCCCTCCTCGATTGAATTGTAGAGGCAGGGCAAAGTAAAACAGTCTAACGGTCCTGCTCCACAGAGGAAAGATTAAATATGGAAGAATTTAAAAATTACTGCCAACTAAAGCTGAAAACCGAGCACTAAATAGTTTCTGACTCTTGTAGAAAAATCAGGCAGCTTCTCTAGGTGGTACACGGCCCGCTAACCCTGCACCCTTTCCTGACAGGGCCCTGCAGTATCACCACCAGGGTGCTGTCCTACAAGGTCACAGTGGAGATTGTGGCTGCACCAAAATTCACCACCAGCAAATTGTACCATGAAGCAAAAAGGCTTTAGACAGGCCTGGCACTTTAATACAGCCCATCTTTAATCCCCTTTCATGTCACCTGATTATAAAAAAAAAAGATGAGAAAAATTCAACAAGAGACAAAGTAAAAATAGTACAAGATGGATTAACATAAGAATTAGAGAATCGCTATTGCAAATCTCCATTTTACTCAGAGCCCCTGTCAAAAATCATAATTTAAATCAAGGCAGGCACTTGAGAGCAATATTCATGGAAGAAGTTTTTACCAAATACTAGGACATTTATAATACTTTGTAGCACTGGCAAAAGAGAGCAGAGATTGAAGGAGGGTGTGTGGTGAGGACAAAGGAATGATAGAAAGGGAAAGAAAAATCAGAGAAAGAGAATATATATTCACATTGCCTACTTCCTTATGAGGTGTTCTTTCATTAGATTATATAGGTACTTACCTAAAGTTGAACAACACTCTCTCCCTGAATGCTGTAATCCTGGAAACCAAATGATACATTTTGGTGGAAATGTATAAAATAAGAAAAAAAAAATAGTTGCCACAGGCCCTCACTCATTCTATATTTTATATTTCTGTGGTGGACTTTGGCATTTAATCTTCTGGCTCGGGGGCCTTCCTTAGTACCTTCCCCCTTACGCTGGGCTACAGCTTAGAAAGATGAGGGTATTGGTTAGCTGAGGTTCAGATAAATTAACTGTTTTGTAAACAACTGGGATATCCTAAAATTTTATCTAAAAATTTAAAAATCAAGTGATAAGCTTGATAAATAATTTCTTAAAGGTCTATTGTTCATTGAAACTCTGAGACGTAGAGGAACCCTTCCTTTCTGTGCTCAGAGCACTCTTCCATGTGAGTGAAACTAAGAATTATAGGGACTGAATAACATTTCACTTCCTATCTTCTAATGTTTACCAAACCAGTAAAAAGAGTAACAGTGTATATGATGGTATTCAAATAATGACATATACATGGTACACTAAATATGAATTTAATGACATTTTAGGTTATACATTCCCAGGAGGCATGAATCAACATTAGCTTTCTGTGTTCAGTGTTTAATTCTAGACGTACGTGCACACCAAATCCAAGTGACACGGAGTGTTTGGCACTGACAGCCTTATTTTTCAGGTATACTGCTAGGGACTTCCTTCCGCATTTATGAACACAATCGCACCAGGCTACTCTTGTAGTGGTCACGCTTCTCCTCCAGTGACAGATGAGATCCAGTCCCTGTAGGCAGAAATTCTGGCAAAGACCATGGGTGCGCTAGGCTGACAGTTACTGCTGCCCCAGCTCACGATACCAATGAGGTTGTACTGTTCGTCATGGGCACACTGCAGCGGTCCTCCAGAATCTCCCTGCAACCTGCAGAAAGAGAAGTTCTCCTGGTCACTTGATTCATGGTCAATGTTAACCCCCGCTGCAGAGGTGATCAGACAGTGCCGAAGTCATTCCCTCATCTCTGATTTCTGCTCACAACAGCAGAGGGAACTAGGCAGTCGGTGGATGTTACAGATCTCTGACTCAGATCAAAATCTGTATTTGCAAAGGATGGCTAAAAGGTACATTTAACACAGTCATTTAATGCTGACAACAGACTGTGCCTTGCAGAAAGTTTCAAGCATCTACTAAATATCGATGACTAAATGATGGTTTTGAGTTACATGAAAATATCTTTATACAATGCTACTAGAAGTAGATTCTTTAAACTGCCTGATTCAGCTGTGAAGGTGAGCCATAATAAATTATTTTTATAGATCAAAAACAGCTGAATATCATCAATTTCACATAGTCAACCAAGCAAATGAATGAGCAATTCCTTTTGAGAACTGTGTTCACTTCAAGTATCAAATTTGCAATGACAGTACATCAGCTTAGCAATGTACTTATTCTTCTCACTTTTCATCTTAAAACTAGCATATATTTATACCTTTTTATGGTCAGCAAACACCCATTGATGAGACACACTGAGAAGAAAACCACATTCATCAGTGCATCCTGGAATTACCATGCACGAGGATGAGCCCACAGCCCCTCCACACGTGTTGGTGTTTTTAATATCCAGTCCCCAGTAGCTTCGACAAGATGTACTGTTGATCAGTGGTACCACTGCCTCCTGCACAGTTTTAGAAAATTCGTCTTCTAGTAGAAAAAGAATAAAACATAACCTAGGCAAATGCCTGTAAAGGATACAACAAAAATAGCCCTATATACAGACAGAATCTGAGGGTCATCCCACCCATTCTCCCCTCTTGGCGCTGTAAGGATGTTAGGTGGTTTGTACAAAGTTAGTATTACTCCATGGTGGCTTATAAACAGGAATAACAAATGACACTCTATGTGGGTTCTTCTGTCTTTAGTATAGTCCTGAGAAGACAGAAAGAGGACACCCCTATAGAGAAGGAAGAAGGAAGTCTGCACCCAAATCAGTTGATAAAGCAAATAATGCATTTCATGTTTTACATGTTAAGTCTAGATTTCACTGGTTTTTGACTTGACTTCACATTTAAGTGTTGACACTGGAGGTGACAACTGAAATTGCATTCTGACTTACTCTTTATTTTATTGGATATTTGCAACTTGTTAACTCAGTTGTAGAATATGGTGGAAATGAGACCACAGTCACGGGTTTGACCTTTATGTAGACTACTTTCAGATAAACTTTACCATTTATGCCAGCCTTTCATTTCAGAAAAATGCCTCACATCTTTGGAAATATGCTCATAACTTTAAGAAGAGATTTTCACTGTAGTGGTGAAAATTTCACGTAGATTTTCACTATTGTGAAAGCAAGTGTGTGTGTGTTCACAGTGCAACTGGGGAATAATTACATATAAATATTTATTAGGTAAAAATTACATACAAATATTTATTAGGTAAAAAAATCACTAGATACTCTCCAACACAAGTTTTTACAAGTATCCATGAACTCGTATCAGTAAACTAGTATTATTGAATATGATGTCCTAAAACCCAAGTAGTCACCTTTAGATCCATTATGAAAAAGACTTTTTCTACTATCATTCCTATTAAAAACACGGAAAAACTGAAAATGAGCAAACAGTATACTCAGACTTGACAAGTATTTGTTTGGATTCTAATCTTAGAAGAGGCAGCGAATGTACTCACGATGTGGTTCAGTTATTCCCCATCCAGCAGTCAGACATTTGGAAAATAAGTTTACTTTATCATCTTTCCCTGGCAAACAGATTACAGATACAAACTCCCCTAGAATGAGAAAAAGACAAATACCATTTAGTCCATAGGATTGATATTATCTATATTGTTTCTCTTCCACAATGGCTCTAAAAATAACTATTTTGACATGATAGTACCCATTTTAACCGCATAGTTTAATACAGAAGGTACCATCTATTAATTACTCAGAAAGGATCATCTCATTTCACAGGTAACCACTTTGTTCCAGGTATTACCATTTCTTCCTAGGACAATACAAGCACATTCCCTGCATAGACATGGTTTCTCATCCACTAACCATTTTTAAAATGCATCTGCCTTTCTGTCCATATGCCCTTAGGACATCACCTTGTTGAATTTGAGACGACAGTGCAGAAGAATATAATAATCTTTTCTCTTCAACCGTGTTACATGAGCAATGGAGAAAACCACATTTGTAGCAATGTAAACTTTAAAGTTTTTTTACAGCTCGTGTTTTTATATCTAATTGTATTTTTGCAAGTGTATTATAAAAAATATTGATCTATAAACATTCACATTTTTCGTACCACCAAAATTTGTATATATATAAATATTGTGGGTTTATGTGTATGTCTCTGTGTATATACACTACACACACACACATACACTCTCTGTCTCTCTCTCTCTCTCAATGCAGTGCTCCTGTGTTTGCTTTCTCATGCTGTTTGACTTCAGTTTTATCCAGACTTTTACACACTTAACATGTTTCAACATATCTCCTGTCCTAGACCATTTATTTCAATGATTTGTTCTTTATTTTTTTACTGCTGTCTCTTAATAAAATCACACAAAGCTCTGTAACTTTTTGTTACTTTCCTGCTCTCCTCTCTACACACATTCCAACTGATTCCAAATCTTGTTGTGCTACCTTCACAGATAATCATTGCTATATATCATTTCCTGCCAAATTTCCTTGAGCTAAAGTATTTTCCCTCTACCAACATTTTTTTTAATCAGCTGTTTTTCTTATTCTGGTGTTTTTTTTTTTTTCATTTACTAGATTATGGTCATATCATTTCTATCCTTGCATATAGACCTCCCGGATCATTTTTTTAATAGCACACAGTATTTAGATAATGAATGTACTACAATTTGTTAAATCCCCCTGGCAAACATTTAGACTATTTAATTTTGTTTCCCCTTAAGAGTGGCATCAAGTATCCTAGACCATCAATCCATGCATTAGTGCCCGTATTTGTAGAAAATAGGATTGCTGGAGCAGGAGGCAAAAAAATTAACAGAAATTGCCAAATTGCCTCATTTTGGACAAAAAAAAAAAGGATGTATCGACTTGCACTCTTCCCAGCTGTGTTTATAATCTAGATGTCTGTCAGGAATCTTGAAAATAGTTATGCCCTAAACCTAACAATTCTACTTCTGGGAAATTTATTTTAAGGCAATCCTAGACCTGGAAAAACATATGCATAAGGATAGTTAATCCAGCATTATTTAAATTAAAAAAAAAACCTTTTTATAAGAATTGTGGAAAGGCTACTACGTAGCCATTACAATTACATTTTAAAGGAAATTTTAATAATATGAAGCAATGCTGATAAGTGAAAAAATCAGGATAAAACTCATAACAGGTATATTACAATTATTTAAGTACACATAGAGTAGTATAAAAAGACAGGAAAGAAATAGGCCAAATGTTCACGTGATGGCCATGGTGAGGTGGTGAGGATGAAAATCATAGGTAGAAATTGTATTGTTTCTAATGGGAAAAAGGATACTTCTCACTCTGACCACTGAATAGAAATGAATGGGTACAGATTAGGTAAGCTAACTCAATATTTAGGGAAAGAGGAATAGAAAGGTTCATGTTAGTGTTGACATCAGGTGGTGCTGAGTGGAAAGCAAGATCCTTGGAGACCAGAAAAAAAGGGGGGGGCAGGATAAAGGGTAAATTCAGAAGGGCTGAAAAAAGGGAATGTTTGTAATGACTATTGTGGCCACTGGAAAGAAGAAACATGCGCACAAGGATTGCAGAATGGTACTGAAATTGGAAACCGCAAGTTTTTAAGGGCACCCAAACCTCACCAATGGTCTTTTTCTAGAACAGTGGTTCTCAATTTTGGTTGCACATTGAAATTTCCAGGGGTAGTTTATAAAATACTGGTCTAGATTCAGCAAAATCCAGGATACAAGATCAACATACAGAAATCAATCACATTTCATGTAGAATTTAAAATTAAAAACAACACTATTTATAATCACTGTGAAGAAAATGCAATGCTTAGATATGTATATACTTAGCAAAACATATACAGGATCTGTGCACTAAAAATGGCAATATTCTGGTGAAAGAAATCAAACAAGACCAGGTGCCTGGGTGGCTCAGTTGGTTAAGTGACTGCCTTCGGCTCAGGTCATGATCCTGGAGTCCTGGGATTGAGTCCCACATCAGGCTTCCTGCTCAGCGGGGAATCTGCTTCTCCCTCTGACCCTCTTCCCTCTAATCGTGCCTTCTATCTGTCATTCTCTCTCTCTCAAATAAATAAATAAAATCTTTAAAAAAAAAAAAGAAATCAAACAAGACCTAAATAAGTAGAGAAATATATTGTGTTCGTGATTTGAAAGACTCAACATAGTAAAGTCAGTTCTCCCTCAAGTGATCTATAGGCTTAATATAATTCCTATTAAAATCACAGGAAGTGTTGTAGACATATTATTTTAACATTTACATGAAAAGGTACAGGGCTTAGAACTGCTAAAGCAATCTTGAAAAAGAATAAGTTGAGAGGAATCACTTTTTAATATAAACCCTATTAAGAGCTACAGTAATCAAGACAGTGTGGTACTGGAGAAGGGGAAAAGGCATAGATTGACAGAAGAGAGATCCCAGAAATAGACCCATACAAATATGCTCAGCTGATTTTTCACAAAGGCACAAAAGCAACTCAATGAATGAAAGACAGCCTTTTCAACAGATGTTGCTGGCACAACTGGACATCCTGGGAGAGGAAAAAGAACCTTGACCAAAACCTTAAACCTTATACAAAAATTAAGAATGGATCATGAAGTTAAATGTAAAATAGAAAACTTTTAGAGAAATAGGAAAAAATTTTCAGCATCTAAGGCTAGGCAAAGAGTTCTGAGACTTGACGCCTGAAGCAAAATCCATAAAAAGGAAAATGGAGAAATTGGACTTCATCAAAATTAAAATCTTTGCTTTGTGGAAGACCCTGTAGAAGGGTCTACAGACTGGGAGATGATCTACAGACTGGAAGAAAATATTTGCTAACCACATATCTGACAAAGCAGTAGTATCTAGAATATATAAAGAATTCTTCAGCACCACAATATGAGAAACCATCCAATTAGAAAACTGACAAATCTATAAAGAGACATTTCACTAAAGGGGTTTTTAAAAATGGCAAATAGGCACATTAATATATATTCAGTATTATTAGCCATTAAGGAGATACAAATTAAAATTGCAATAGGGTATCACTATATACCTATCAGAACGCCTTAAAAAAAAATAGTGACAAAAGCAAATGCTCATGAAGATGCAGAGAAACCAAATCACTCCTACAACTCTGGTGGAATATACAATGGTACTATGACTCCAGAAAAACAGGGAATTTCGTATAAAACTGAAACGCACCTACTCTACGACCTGGCAGTTACACTCTTGGGCATTTATCCCACAGAAATGAAAACTGTTCAATTTTATTTACACAAAACCTATAGACAGGGCACCTGAGCGGCTCAGTCAGTTAAGCATCTGCCTTTGGCTCAGATCATGATCACAGGGTCCTGGGGTTGAGGAGCCTGCTTCTCCCTCTGCCTCTACCTCTCTCTGTCTCTCATGAATAAATAAAATTAAAAAAAAAAAACAACCTATACACAAATGCTCAGGGGAGCTTTATCTGGAATATCCAAAAGCTGGAAACAACCCAGATGTTCTTCATTTATGAATGGTTAAACATCCATATCATGGAACCCTACTCAGCAGTGAAAAGGAATGAACTATTGATATATATGGAACAATATGAATAAATCTCCAGGGCATTATGCTGAGTGAAAAAAGTTAATCCCCAATGTCTACAAGACTGTGTAATTCCATTTATATAACATTCTTGAAATGACAGAATTACAGAAACAGAGAACAGATTCCTGGTTGCCAGAGATCTGGTGGGGAGGAGGAAAGGAGTATTGCTATAAAAGGGCAAGAGTATCACTTGTGGTGCTAGAAGTGTCCTGTATCTCCACTGTATCAGTGTCAATACCCTGCAAAATGTTTCCATTGGTGAAAAAAAGGGGAGAAAGTATATTGGTGTATCTGTATTTCCTACAACTGATTGGATATCTATGATTATCTCAACATAAAAAAAGTTTAAAATAATTTAATAAGCAAAATAAAGGGAAAAAACACTGATGCCAGGTGTCCACTTCTGAGACTGTGATTAATTGGTCCAAATTGCATCCTGGTCTACAGTTTTGTTTTTTTAAGCAACCCAGGGGATTATAATGCATAGCCAAGTAAAGCAGCCCTGTTCTAGATGCTCTCACTGACTCATTTACAAAAGCCCAGAAAGCAAATTGTGGGCTGAACCAGGACTGGAGTTTGCAGGATGGATCCACTGAAAAGACATTAAAAAGGGAAGTGAGGTTATTGGCAGGAGCACAGCTGAAGAAGGCAGAAACACAGGAGAGAGTTGGAAGAAAGCAGGGACACTGTCCCAGAGCCCTAGGAATCCATGGACAGGCGTGAGTGTGAAAGTGGGCACTGTCCACAGATCTTAGCTCCACTCCCCAACCCATTTACTTTCTCATTGAAAGTGCACCCCTGCTAAGTAGCTAGGAGGGTTACTGTTTTTCCCTTCCTACAAATGACCAAGCTGAGGCTCAGAGAAGTTATATAACCAGCCCAGATCACGTGGCTACAATTCCTCACCATGTGTTCACATCAGCTGCAGTTTAAATAAACATCAAAAAAGAACAAGATTTTACTAAGCCATAAAGGTACAGACAATTGAACATCTGATGGGTCAAACCGCTGTTTTAAGTATTTGGGTAAACCTCACCTAACAGCAAGTCTCAGAATAAATAGGACAAGATTAAACCATATTTCTTTGAAATCTTCTCTAGACCTGCACCAATTAAAGACATAAAAAAGTAAAATGTTTGGGCAGGTGCTTCAGCTTTGAGGGAAGGTAGCTTAGAATATCAGAAAGTTTTGAAATCGTGACTTTCAAAAGTACACACAGCGCTTCTAAGCAAGATGGAAGATAAAAACCACATGGCAAAGGTTGCAAATATGGAGCAGAGTTATCCACACTGACCTAGTTGGACAGGTTTCTCCAGCTGCAGCAAGGATACGTCTTCAGTAGGAGGGAACTCTGTGAAGCCATGGTGAGTGTATACAGCTTTCACTGGTATCAAATCACTATTTCCCGTGTTTGAGAGGGAACTTCTTCCTATTACCAGGCCATCTGTGATAGTACTTGTCATAGGAAAAAGGAATGGGGGAGATATATACCACTTTTAATGAGGTCATACTTTTTCAAAATTACTAAAAGTACATTCTCTAACATCTCCCATCTACATTAAAATCTGTGTTATCTTGAATTCCTAGAAAATGGAGGTTTCTTATTAATTTGATCCTTGAGAAAAATGAAGGTATCTACTTTCTTGCCTTCATAACATCAAACAAAAAATGATTTAGTGTTTCTTAACAAGATTCATGATGCCTCAGGATAATGATTCTATGTATTATTACAATCATACTATTACACATTATATGACATACTTATATAATAGTCACTGAAACCTATTCTGAAAGTTACAGTTACTCTACTCCCTAATACAGTGTTTCTCAAAAAAATGTCTAGGAACTACATGCATTAAATTTGGCAGTGCATTAAAAATGCAGAATCCTAGACATAACTCATTAAGTCAAAATTCAGAATTAAGATTCTAAGATTTCACAGCAAATTCTCCAGGTAATTTTGAGCATATGAAAGTCTGAAAACTGCCTTAATAAGGAGAACTTCTTGTGATTTCTCTATATCAAAGGAGTTGGGGAATGGTAGAGAAAAGGAGTTTTTGATTCCTTGAAGGTTCCTGCCCACCAAGTTATTGGAGCAGATACTTTTATTAGAAAGCCTACTTTAGCAGCCCTGAAACACTCTATCTACTCATTTAACTATGGGCCATCACTACTTCTGGGAAGCGGATATTAAAAACACCAGCCTAAGACTTCTCTGAGGAAGGAGTTTTCAGATATCTCCGTATCACATTGAGACCAAGATTCAGATACAATTTGTTTAAGTGTTTCTTTTAAAGGACATTCTTTAAAATTCTTTGAAAGTGGATATTTATTTTGAGAGTGGGTAGGATGATCAGTAGTCAGTAGAGTAGAGCAAGAAGGACAGGAATTCACATTTGAGCAACTCCTGTGCTCTATGTAAGGGGTTAAGACACTGATGCAAACATGTTAAGATATTACCTCCATTTTATAGATAAGGAAAGGGGGACTATTGTTACTTATATTAAGTAAATTACACTGAAAAGTTAATTTTAACCTTTTAAAATTAAAAGTTATCAGTAGTAACTGTTAGAGAAGCACAACGTGTCGTGGTCTGAGCACATCCATTCATCTGCGAGGTAGGGACTGTATCGGTGGGAGCTTAATGGTTCCTGTGCTGCGGGGAGAGCAGGAGTACACCCACCTCGGGCACCCCCCCTCCCCGCCCCGGCACCACACGGGCACACACCTAAAGTTACAGAGTGCCGCTGTCAGGACCCACTGCTTTGCAATTAAAGCACCTCCACAGAAATGTTGGCCTTGGTGCTGCAGGCTGACGAGCCAGGGCCACAACTTGGTAGGTGCCGCATGGCCACCCACCATCCGGGGCTCCCCACGCTCAGCGGGCAACACCTGTGTGTTTCTCTCAGACCCTTGCCATTAGAAATGGGTCAACAACTGGAATTCCACATGTGTCTTGGTTTGGCTGTTTTCCAGTATTGCTTTCTACGGTTATCTCTGAGAAAAGTAACAACAAAACATTAGAAATACTTATCAAAGTCTATTAAAATCTCAGAATGGAGGGATTTATTTCTTTTGTAGTTTCAAAACTAGGATTCTTAGCCACAGAGGAGATTTCTCTTTTCTTCCACTGCTTTTAAAATGAACAAAAATCAATAAAGTTACCTGAAGCATTAATACATACCTCTTTAGACAAATCAGAACAGAAATTGATTTTTAAAATATTGCACTTAATCATGAAATTACTGGACATTGTTCTTTCTTTGGCATTATTTGTGTGATCCCAGTAGACATGTCAAAAAACTTTATACTACATGTATTCCAAGTACAATTTATACAGAAAGGAAAAACATAAGGAAAATTTCTAGTAATGTGTTTACTTCATTCTCAGATTTAGAAAGAACTGCACCAGGGAATTAAAAACAAGAGACTTATTCAAGTATATCCTGAAATATGAAGAAAATTAAATAAGCTTCCTCAAAGCTTATAATTTGGGAATTATAAGATATGCTCATTTTTTAAATGCTTTGCTTGAGATTTTTTACACCAGAAATCTATTTAAAACAAAGTTTCTAGCAGGGGGGATTTGTTTATTCAATACTTGCATCAAAATTCATTTCTACCTTCTCTTCAGATATGTGTAAAACATGGATTCCCTCCTCCTTTTGTATATAAAAGTCAAAAAAATATGCGAACACTTCAAAATTAAGACTATCCTAGATCATAGAAATAAAAAACCCCACAAAGTTATCTATTAACATGTTTTATACTTTAAGGTTTACTGCCTTACTGCATGTTTTTACTGCATTTTAATCTGTGTATGTGGTAACTCTTAGACCTGCAGGCTGTTCGTACACATGCAAAAAAATAAATTGAATACTAACAGCAATATTTTATTAGTATTCAATTTATTTTTTTCAACTTACTTCAAAAAAAAACCAAATGCTTAAAAGAGGAAATGAAGCAGCCTAAATATTTTTACCATGCAAATGAAGGGTCAGTTTAGAGATGCAGAGATGGAAAGATAAGAGAAATGGAGACAGGGGCGCCTCGGTGGCGCAGTCAGTTAAGCATCTGACCCTTGATTTCACCTCAGGTCATGATCTCAGGGTCCTGGGATCGAGCCTTGTAACAGGCTCCATGCTCAGCAGGAGTCTGCTTGAGGATTCTCCCTCTCCCTCTCCCTCTGTCCCTAGCCCTGCTCATGTGCTCTAAAAAATAAATAAATATATCTTTTTTTAAAAAGGAGCAATTGAGACAGAAGAAGGGTCAGTAGTTGAGCACTCCTTACCCAATTAAAAAAAATCACACCTATATGATGATGTGGTTCATTAGTCTATGGCTCACATCAAGGACTCTTCTAGAACTCATTCATTCCCCCATCTTACAAAAGACAAAGTGACATCAAAAAGAACTTTGTATTGGATGTTATTAGAATTCTTCCTAGAATTACACTCCAATCAAGAGAATCTCCTAATAACAGATTTATTTGTTTTTTTACCCTTAAACACAACTAATGAAGTTCTGGCTTAAAAGTAGATTCAATAAATAGAAAAGTCATTACATGTGTTCCTGTTTTATGCAGAGTAGTTAGTATGTGTTCAGCTAAAATATTCTTTTTTGGGGGGAGTGTCTTTTTGGGGATTTGGGAGTTGTTATTTAATAAAAAAGAGATGCTAACAGAGACATGGAAACACACTGAACTCTACCTTTGTTTCAGCCTCAATGTCCCCACTAGATTTTTTAAAAATAGCAGGGGCCTCTTATGTTTATCGTTATTTCTTAAGTAAAATAACACACACACACACACACACACACACACACACACATGCACACACCCCAATTAACTATTACCTCAAATGGTCCATCTAAACTACCAAGATGGGGTGCCTTCTATGAATGTGCCTGAGAGCAGTAATAAATAGTGAGAGGCAGATGTCCAAGAAATGTAGGGTGAGATAAATTATGATTCTCATGACAAAAAAAAAAAATCTCAACATCAAGCAAGGAAGGCACAGCTCTAGAGCTACATGTAGCAAACAAAAATGTAGCTGGCAGTAAATAACCACCTTAGAAGAAATTTAGAATATCCAAACCAGGGGAGCCTGGATGGCTCAGTCGATTAAGCATCTTCCTTCAGCTCAGGTCATGATCTCAGAGTCTTGGGATCAAGCCCCGTATCAGGCTCCCTGCTTAGCGGGGAGCCTGCTTCTTCCTCTCCCTCTGCCTCTCCCTCCAGCTCATTCTCTCTCTTGCTCCTCTCTCAAATAAATAAAATCTTAAAACAATAAAAATAAAATAACCTCCAAGGTCTTGTGCCTTAAAGAATGTTCTGAAATGAAGTTATCCTGTTTTGAGAATTAAAGCAGGGTAACTACCAGGGACTCTCAAACCAGTGTTCCACAGGTTCCACTTTGACATGTATGATATCTGCTTTAATAAATATTTTAAAATACTTACCACTGATAGGCACTTGGGTTCCCATATTACTTTTTTGTAAATGCTTCTGAACTGTATCTTCCAAAATAAATTTAAAACCTCTTTCTCCCACAGACTTACCAGTCTTAAAATTCGCGGTCAGGTAAGCACCACTGGATATCAAGACAAATTCTTTCTTGGAACCACATAAATGAGCTGCAATGTGAGATATACATAGTAATTAAAATATTTCTCCTGTGCAGTAACGTAGATAAAAGAGGGCTAGGAGGGGACATTAAATTCCAAACTGTTAATATTGGCAAAGGAATGATTATCAATAATGTAAAATCAAGATTTGTGGAATGGCATCCATGATGTGACTGCAACCATGGAAGGGTACAGATTTTGAATGATTAAAGGGAAAAGAGTGGGCTAGCATTTGCTATGAAATGACATACAACTCTATGGCAATCTGTGATCATAAGGATGAGAAAGTTGGTGAAGGCAAATGGACAGAGAAACAAAATAGGACAGTGTTCTGAATGTTTGTGCCCCACTCCCACCCCGCCCACAATTTCATGGGTTGAAATCCTAATCAATCCCAAATGTGATGGTATTAGGAGGCAGAGCCTTTGGGAAATGATTAGGTCACAAGGGTGGAGACTTCATGAATGGAACTAGTGCCCTCAGTTTTTTTTTTTTTTTTAAGATTTTATTTATTTATTTGACAGAAAGAGAGCACGCACAAGCCGGGGGAGCAGCAGGGAGAGGGAGAGAAAGAAGCAGACTTCCCACCAAGCAGGGAGCCCGATGTGGGACTCTATCCCAGGACCCTGGGATCATGACCTGAGCCGAAGACAGACGCTTACCTGACTGAGCCACCCAGGCACCCAAGAACTAGTGCCCTTATAAAGGAGACCCAGAGAACTCTCTCACTCCTTTTTTGCCATGTGAGGACAGAGCAGAAAAGACAACTATGAATCAGAAGTGAGCTCTTACCAGACACCAAATCTTGCACTTCCAAGGCTCCAGAACCATGAGAAATAAATGCTTGTTGTTTAAGCTACCCGTGTCTAGTATGTTTGGTATAGTGGCCCAAAGTGGCTAAGACACACAGGGTGCCCAAATGCAGACTAATGACGATCCTTTCCTAATCCAGAAATACAAGTTGTTCAAAGGTGGTCCTGATAGTGATAGGATAGCTGCTATAATTTACCTATACATGCTGTAATTTCAGTTCTCTCAAAACAGTGATACATTATTGATTTGTCTTAACGATAATGTTATCTCAACAATCTGACACAGAAAGATAGGGAACAGGGGAAGAGTGAACCTCTACATCCTTCTCATCTTTGCAGAATCTGGTGAACTGGATATGACGGGGAACTGGGATGCACCACGTCAAGGCAAAGGACTCTGGACAGAGTCAACAAACACGCCAGAAGTTTTAAAATAATGTAAATGGGAATAGGTTACTGCTTAGAAAATTCTTAAAAAAGATTTGGGGGTGAGAGAAGATGGGTAGAAGTCAGAGAAAACAAAGAGAAAACAAAAATCCTCTACTTAGAGGATTTCCAGGGTTGTACGTCAGGGAAAGAGCTTACTTCATGCTTACAGGCACAGATTCTATCAGATTCTATAGCCAAACTGCGGCTTTCCACCAGCTCTGCAATTTACTATGTGGCCCTGGGCAATTCGTTTAATCTGTCTCACTCTCTGCCTCAATTTTCTCATCTGTATAATGGAGATAAAAATTATGTTCAAATGGGATTTTATAAATTGGTACTTGTAAATTATTATAAGTGTGTGTTACATAAAAAAGAAACTTCAGCAAATTACTGGACAGTTTTTGAACACTTGGAGAAAGAATCAATGGTCACAAGAAGCCAACATGGGATCCTTAATGTGTCACATTCAAGTAACCTAATTAATTTTTGTTGAAAGAGCTAATTAGATGGTGGCTAGGGGGAAGGAGATAAACTTAATGAATCTTGATTGCAATGAAGCACTTAATAAAGTATCTTATGATATCCTGTGAACAGATAGAAAATGTAAGTGGATAATTAAGTGGCCAGGAAGTTTCACAGCTGATTAAATAATCATACAATATTAAGCTGGAGGGAAGGTCTTAATGGTATGAAAATAGTTTTATCCTTGGTTCTGTCAAATACAGTATTTTTTTTTAAAGATTTTTTTATTTATTCATTCGGAGACACAGAGATACAGAGAGAGAGAGAGAGAACATGAGTGGGGGAGAAGCAGAGGGAGGGGGAGAAGCAGGCCCCCCGCTGAGCAGGGAGCCCGATGCGGGACTCAATCCCAGGACCCTGGGATCATGATCTGAGCCGAAGGCAGACGCTTAACCACCTAAGCCACCCAGGTGCCCCTCAAATACAGTATTTCTATTTAGAACTTAGAAATACAGACAACACATTTACAAAATGTGTGCCTGCATGAGAAGGGAATAGTGCCAATATAGGATCTTAGAGATCATTTAGTTCCATCTTTCATCTGACACTGACTTTGTTCTAAAATAACCCTGGACATAGGGTTGAAGATATGACATGGAACTTATGAGCATTTTCTCTTTTTGAACAGTTCTAGTTGCTAGACTGTTCTTCATGTTGAATCAAAAAGCATCAATGGAACAACTGTCACATGGTTGGTGTAGCGTTTGAATCAGAGCGCATGGGTTTGAATCCCACTTTCTCTACTTATTAGTTATGTCCCTGGAAACAAGTTGCTCAATCTTTTTGTGACTTGGTTTCTTTATATTTAAAATGAGAGGAGCGCCTGGGTGGCTCAGTCAGTTAAGCGCCTGCCTTCGCCTCAGGTCATGATCCCAGGGTCCTGGGATTGAGCCCTGCGTTCGTCCGGCTCCCTGCTCAGTGGAGAGTCTGCCTCTCCCTCTCCTTCTGCCTGCCACTCCCCCTGCTTGTGTTCTCTCTGTCAAATAAATAAATAAAATCTTTTAAGAAAATTTAAAAAAATAAGTAAAATGAGGATAAATGTAACCTACCTCTACAGGATAATTAAGAAAATTAAGAGAGTTATACATTCTTAGGACTATGCCAGAATAATGGTAAATATTCAATAACTATTAGATATTATTAGGCAGAACAAATTTCATATTTAGCCTGAGAGTCTCTGAGAATTCCATAAATACTTAAAAGGAAGAATTATGATCCTTCTGTCTTTTCTCTTCTCCAAGGTAAACACTTCCAAGCACCCACGCCCTTCAGCATCCTGGTCATTGTGCTCTATGTTTGTGTCAGGGTTCCTTAAAACGGTTGCTTCCGAAGGGGTACGTGCACCCCAATGTTTATAGCAGCAATGTCCACAATAGCCAAACTGTGGAAAGAGCCATGATGTCCATCGACAGATGAATGGATAAAGAAGATGTGGTATATATACACAATGGAATATTATGCAGCCATCAAAAGGAATGAGATTTTTGCCATTTGCAATGATGTGGATGGAACCGGAGGGTGTTATGCTGAGTGAAATAAGTCAATCAGAGAAAGACATGTGTCATATGACCTCACTGATATGAGGAATTCTTAATCTCAGGAAACAAACTGAGTGTTGCTGGAGTGGTTGGGGGTGGGGGGGAAGGGGTGGCTGGGTGATAGTGGGTAGGGTATGTGCTATGGTGAGCGCTGTGAATTGTGCAAGACTTGAATCATAGATCTGTACTTCTGAAAAAATAATGCAACATATGTTAAGAAAAAAGAAAAAGAAGAAGATAGCAGGAGGGGAAGAATGAAGGGGAGTAAGTCAGAGGGGGAGACGAACCAGGAGAGATGATGGACTCTGAAAAACAAACTGAGGGTTCTAGAGGGGAGGAGGTGGGGGGATGGGTTAGCCTGGTGATGGGTATTAAAGAGGGCACATTCTGCGTGGAGCATTGGGTGTTATGCACAAACAATGAATCATGGAACACTACATCAAAAATTAATGATGTAATGTATGGTGATTAACATAACAATAAAAAATTTTAAAAAAAACAGTTGCTTGACCAAGGTTAGTATTTAATAACCAGTAGGGCAAAAGCTACAGCCAGCAGATTAGACAGTGACTGAAGATCTGTGAGACTGAGCTAGCGCATGCCCACGAAGTGCCAACACTAAATCTGATGCAAGGGAACGGGTTCCTTTTCCTTGTAATTCTTTACAAAGAGAGCTCTGAAATGGTGTCATTTGATACCTCTGAAATTTCAATTGCAAACGTCCTGCTTTTTAAATCACCACCTCCTATCTCTCCAACTCATTAGTGTTTCTCTACTATAATTGTTTGGTCTCACCATGACCTTCTAGTCGTCAATCCCATAAACTTTCTAAATCCAGCAGCTTCTAAGAAAATGAGAGATTTTGCTGTAAAGGGAGGCAGAGAAATGGGGCAATCGCTACATTTCTTGTTCTATTTTGTTTTAAATGATGGGTAAGACTAGAACATGTTTGAAACTGATGAGAGTGATAATGGAGCTCGATGATGTCCAAGAGAGGATAACTAGAAGAAATTTGTATGCAGCTGATAATCCTCAAATTTTTATCTCCAGCCCAAACTTTTCCTCTAGCTCAAGAATTCAACACGTAGCTACCTACTGCCAACTCAACCTGGATGTATCATAGCTTTAAGAATTTAATGTGGCCCAAACAGATCTCTCCCCACAAATCTCTCTCTCCCTCCAGCATTTCCCATCTCTGTAGATGCTAACCTCTCACACCAGAGTCATCCCTGATTTGCATATTTTTTTATTTGCATATTTAATCCCATACGCAATCTTCCCGGAAACCCTATTAGTTCTCTCTCCAGATCTGTCCACTTCACTTGCACTCCATTGGTGCCATCCTCTTCTAAGGCAGTATCTATTGTTGAAAACAGTACTAACAGAACATTCTGCAAGGATGGAACATTCTGTTCCATAGAATATAGAGGGCTGCCCACTATAGGAGTCACTCACCACATGCAGCAATTGAGCACTTAAATATGGCCAATACCATCTTTTATTTCATTTTAACTAATTTAAATTTAAATAACAACCTGGACTGGACAGTGCAGGTCTAGAATAACACAAGAGCCTCGTGACTTCACCCTGTCACCCAAAAACTCACTCCTGACACAGCAGCTAGAGCATCTTTCAAATTACTCCCTTGTCAAACACCTTTTACGGCCTCCCAGTGGATTGGA